GTAGTCTTCGATGCCTGAAGACCTGTGTGTTTTGCAGGCTGCAAGATATTGGCGGAGCTTCCTCTAAACATCTCTACTGCCGACTCTTCATGATGTCAGGCTTTTGGAGTCACAGAGATTGAGCAAATACGGCGCCAAACAAGACGCCTGGCATGTTACAGGTGCTTCTAGACTTGGAAGATTGCAAATGCCCCATAAGATCACAGCTGGCATCTGACGAGTAGGGGGGTCTGCCATCTTGTAGAATGCACAACACGTCTGACGGCTAGAGGAATCAAGTAAGCCCTAAAAACTTGGAACACAGATTCAGGATGATTAGCTGGGCTTCCCTATTGTTTACCATCTAGGACATAGGATAACGATGTTTCTAGTTTCCGGAGGTTGCCGGAAATCAGCTGGCTTTCAGCACGCGTTAAGGCTTCGTGGCGAGGAAAGAACCGGATGGATCACAGATCAGGGCGCCGAGATGAGATGGCAGAAGCCCCGCTGCTGCTTTCAAGAAACCGGCAACTCTGATGAAGCCGTGTCATGATATGGAGCCGCTTCAAGGAGTCAAGGACAGGAAGATAAGCATAGTTCATGAGTCAGTGCTATAAAGGCTGTTCTGAGAGGGCCCTGAAAACAGCGAGGAGCAGTCACTACTCACAGCCCCACCCCCAAATCCAACCACGGCCGGTGAGTGTGATCATGAAACAAGTACCCCAGCCCCTGCCAACTAACAGGACAATCAACAAAACAGGTCCAAGGCCCCACACATAGCTCCAACTCCAGCAAATGCCAACATCCGTCGAGGAAGCAAGCACCTAAACCAAGGAACGCAGCACGCCCTACCTGTGCCCGGGAGCTGTGACTCCTTCGAGAGCAGAGAGCACAAAGGGGAGATGCGTGGGCTTAAGGTCTTACAGATGTTGCATCCTACCTAGGGGCAGGTTCTTCAGACTCATATCCCAGTTTCAGAACTCCATGCCTCCAATCCTTGATGAGCTCCCAGAGGAGAGCATGTGGGCTTTTGTTTGTTCAGGCCGTTGAATGGTTCAGTCCCGTGTAACCATCTCATGCCAAGGAGTCTGGATGGGATCAATATGGATGGTAGTTTCCCAAAATAAGGGGACCCCAATATAGACCCCCAAATATTAGAATCCTTAGTATGGGGACCCCCAAAAAGGTTCCCTAATTTGGGGAAACCCCCATGTTTTTTCCTTAGGATCCTAGTGACCAGACGAAAGGACGATTCTGACCGGGCAGAGGCTCTTCCATGCAAAGTGAGGAGCAGCATAGCAACACAGCAGCACTTGCTCTTCCCATGAGCCTTCATCATGACATGTCATATGCTATCACATGAGCACATGGTTTGGAAAAGATGACATCCTGCCGAAGCCTCTTGCAAGGAGCACAAAGGAACCCCACAGCATCTTTGCCAAAACTCCCACATGCTTCTCAATGACTCAAGGTCGTAGAAACACACCATCCGGGAACGGTGGTGATTGTTCCCCACTGTGTCCGACAACAAGAATTCAAGATAGCTGAACCCTAGACATAGCTGAACCCTAGAGACAAGGTCTGAGCTTAGCAGACCGAAGGCGATCTAGCAAGGACGCAATAATGGTTCAGAATCTCCAAAGACGACTTGTCCGAAACAAATCCTGCCGAGACGAAAGAAGCGAAGATCGCCTACCTCTCCCACCCAGCAACAATTCAAAATAGGACCAACATGATCTGGGACTCTATATATGTATATATATGTATGAAACAGCTGCTGTGCCCAATGCATAAGTCCCAAGCCCTGAAGTTCAAAGCAAGGTTACTTCAGCCCAAACGTGCCCTAGCCCGCACCATGATGGTGGCAGCTGACATCTACGGTCATGCTATGTGCAAATGACTCATAATAACAATGCCAGCAAGAATTATAGTGAACGAAAATAATCACTATAATGTGCACAAGTGATAATAAAGCCTGCATGTACCTTGAGCAGTCCTGCGTGACGACTGCCGGGGGACTACACGGTTGCTGGCCTGCGGATTGCATGGGCAGCACAAACATCACCAGCCAACAGAAATGCTGCGCCCATACACCTCAACAGGTTCAAATTCGGGGACTCGGATATTATTGACTCACGGGCAAGTCGTAAAGCTTTCCCAGGCTGGGGAGGGGTTCTTATCAGCACCAATCCCTAAACCTTCAATACCATACGTAGGTCATAGGTCATGCACCCTTGGTGACAGTTCTGACGGAAGGTAATAACAGTTGAAATGGGTCCATAAAACCCTTGGAAAGGCAGTCACGATGCGTGGAAATTACCCAACACACAACCNNCCCCCCCCCCCCCCGCGGTACAGTCATTAGTCAGCGCATTCCGACACGGAAATGCGCTACGTCAAAGCCTACAGGGTTACAAACACATACATGTATCTATTTGCTCATGCATGGTACATAGGGTTTTATATACAAAAGAAAGGCATATAAGATTATAGACTGGGTTTTTGATTGTGTTACATAGGGTTCAGGCTTAAGGTTTCTGAAGCACTGAGCCGCTGGCACCATGCGTCTGGGATTGTCACTTCCAAAGTCAATGCAATGCTGCGAAGTGAAAATCAACATTCTTTAGCAGCGGACTGAAACACGGAAAAGAGATGCCCATAGTTGTTGAAAATGGCACGACATCATCTGGCGAAAGACACAGAAACAATACTGGCAAGAACAAACAAGCGCATTCAGAACAACACGAACCACAACAATGTTAGCCAGAACAAATGATAGCCAGCTATACTCAATCATAGGGAGGGGTCTTGCTATGATGACTTTGAAATTTAACTCGTGGCCAGACCGGCGATTGGGTTACCCATCTGAATTTTGCACGAGCCGCAAGGAAGCAGCTGAGACTACGGAAGCACTGGCATACCAGGAAGAGCAGGAGCACCTTGTCAGGGATAGGGCTATCAGCATGCGGGCGAGCAGCTCGAGTTCGCATAGGGTGTGAGCTCCTAAAAGAACATGGCGAAGAGTAAAGTTGTAGCGTAGGCAAAAAAACTTGCTGGAAATAAGCATGCCCCTCGCACAAAGCTAAACACCCAACCCCACAATTCAAGATTCCACATGTGTTTGGGCCTACAAGCGCAGTCTTTCCACATGGTGAAATTTTGGACATTTTCAAAAATCTTTAGGCCTCAGGAACCCAAGGGACATTGGGGTATTACAAGGATACAATAGGACTCTTGCGGGGTTCTCATTTCGAGAAACTTCCATAATTGGGTCTCCACGTAGCATAGAGGTCCGTCTCAACGGCCTCTGTAGGGTTTACCTGGACCCCCAAAGTATGTAGAATAATGGCCTTTTGGGCTATATTTAGGGGATTTGGGCCATTATTTTACCTACTTTGGGGGTTTAGGTAGGGATTAGGGTCTTAGGTTTTGGGGGTTTGTAGACTAACTTGGTTCGCCTTGTGGGGGGGGTGCCTGGAGTAATTTAGGAAAGCATACATAACGCAGCAAACCATGCAGCAATGGGAACGCCAACATCAGGAATTGCATGATGACGGTTCTGGGATCATCACGTAGGATCCACTGCCTTCAACGTGACCAAAGAATTCAGTCTTGAAGGAATTCCGGTGGAAGCTTCCAAAAGAGGGGACCCCAATATAGACCGAAAAATGCCATAATCCTTACTATGGGGACCCCCAAAAAGGTACCCCTAATTTTGGGAAACGATCATCCCTATAAACCCATACACAATCCCAGTTTCTATTTCATTTTCCATGTTCTTTTCCATCTGATTCTCCATTGGGGATAGATATCCCTATAACCCTACTTAGGGCCACCCTAAATCCTCAACCCAATATATCCCTATATACCACAAGCCCACTTGACTAGCTCCGCCAGCTCCCACTCTACGCCCAACCTACAGATGCAAAAAGTTCGGTCACCCCAAACCCTATGGCTCCGTGTCTATAAATATTACCGACATTGGGCCCCAATGTCTATAAATGGTACCTACATTGGGCCATTTGGAGCCATAGGGAAAGGACCGTAAGCCATACCCGAGTTCTTCCTGCTTAGCGCCTGAAAGATGACCCGGTTTCCACCAGTGCCCGGCGGAGCACGCTTGGCCATGGTGCTCTATCACGGAGTTATTACGATTATTACCAGGGGGTGAACGCTGTTTCACTGGAGGGAGAACGTTGTAATTTAGGCTGTTCGTGCTTCGGGTATAGGGTCGCAGGCTGCTTCAGAGTTTGGATTCTTGAGGCGGTCGACTTGCTGTTTGGAGCTTCGTTTCTTTTTGTGGGGTGGAGAGGGGGTGGGTGGGCTCAGACTTCGTGTAGTTTGAGCTTTTCGGAAAGTCTAAAAAGGCTGCAGGGACATGTTGCGAAAACTTTGCTGGAGAGGCAGGCGGCCTAGTCATCTTTCGGGCTCCCGGTTTTGATCAGTTCAAACCCAAATCAGCTTGCAGCACAAGTGCGAGTATTCATCACTATAGCTTGCTTTCGTAAAGCATTATTATTACTATTATTATTATTAGTAGTAGTAGTTGTGGTAGTAGTAGTAGTAGTAGTAGAAGTAGAAGTAGTAGTAGTAGTAGTGGTAGTAGTAGTAGTAGTAGTAGCAGCAGTAGCAATGATGCAATGTAGATCTTCGCAAGAGCGGGGAAGCACCTGGCAGCGTATCTAGGCACCACCTGAAGCGTGTCCAGCTTGTAGAAATCAAGCAAGTGGGAACTTTGCCCTTGGGTCCTTGCTGAACAACATGGGTCCCCATCTCATTTTCCTTTTTTGCGGCTGAGGCTTTTCGCTCGGAGCCTGACTCCACTGAAGATCCCAAACTCCCAAAGCAAGCCCGTCCTCGCGTGAAAAAGGCCCGGGTATATCGTGCCCGTCTAGAAGGATGAATTGTCTACACAAAGGGAGCGCCGGAAAACAGAAGTCCTTTGCAAAGGGGTTTAGGGTTTAGGGTCATGCGAACATACTGGGGATCCCTAGGTTAGCCCTGGCAGTAGTTCTCCCCGCCTGCTTGGCGTTGGACCCCAGTGAACCATCCTCTGTAGGCTTGGGATTTACATAGGGGCTATTTAGACTATTTAGGGACTGTCTGGGGATTCTATGGGGATTACATAGGATTGCAAAGGGTTTTTCGAGGAATTATATAGAGACTATTTAGGAATTATATTGGGGGATGTAGCGTCACATCAACCCAGGCTTCAAGAGCTGTGGGCGCAGGAATCCATCTGAAAGGACTGTTGAGCTGGTTGAGGAGTACACGTTTTGAGTTGCAAGCTATAAGCTGCATAAGGACTTTACATAGAGTTTGGTACAGTGTCCCCATTGTCAAGCTGCCTCAGATTTTTTCATCTCTAGCTGACCAGCACTGCTATATATATATATATACATTCGAAGCTGAGGTACATGTACTGTAGGGTTCTAGAGAACTGAAATCTTGCTGTGCTCAACACCTGCAGTGTGCGGCAGGAGGTTAATTTTGACGTTTGACTATGGAGTTGGGCTTCACAGCACGCAGAGAAGACTTCATACAATGAGGGAGACGGAGTTGGACAGTGAGGAAACCAAGAACACCCGGAAAGGACTCAAAATTCTAAGCTTCATATTTGCACCAAAAAAAAAGCTCGACGCTGAATACTGGCAACCTTGATGTCAAAACCGACCCTTCATGACACTGCGGAGTCCATGAACTCCTCTGCGAAATCTGCTGCATCCTCCTTTCTTACATCATTAAATCCAAAGCTCAACGCACCCAAAGCGTTTCTGCCTATGCCCTACATCCGCACTTCAAGAACACATCCCATGGGCCATCACCTCGAACGCCTGAAACAACAATACCAAAACCTGAAGCAACAAACTTGAACTGAACTGAATCCCACCCACATGTCAGAATTCGAGGTTCCAAAAAACGCCCTACTTCCACCCATTGATCCAAACATGCGTCCATCCGTGCACCACGAAAACTTCTACCCTTACAAAAAGCGTGTAATAACAGTACATACGAAATCAAGCGATGCGCGTTGAAAGCACGAAGCCTTGTGAGGTCTGCGCCACCCAAACCTTCCTTGCTGAATGCTACCTAAACCCCCAAGAAGTAGGTAAAATAATGGCCCAAATCCCCTAAATATAGCCCAAAAGGCCATTATTCTACATACTTTGGGGGTCCAGGTAGTACTGTTAGTAGGGAATGGAGGTATGGATGCCTAAGTAGCCCTGACGAAAAACAACAAGCATTTCATGGTGCCCACATTCAATATGGATAATGGAGAATCAAATGGAAAAGAAAATGAAAATTGAAATGGAAACTACTATTTAGGGTTAAAAGGTTTCAGAAAATTAGGGGATTCCTTCATTGTCTAGAAACAACCTGCAAGTTACGGACCCGTAGATTTAATGTTATATTCCATTTGCCACCCTAGCCCTCAACCCTCCCAAGCTGCAAAGCCCAGTGGCTTCATAGCCCGATCCAGGAAAGCCTTGAGCGGACCCTCGGGCCTCGAGATTGTCAAAAACACAACTGAGACGGATACAGGGGACTGAATAACTACCAGCTTCTTTTCGAGGTACCCTGTATGCCACAACTATACAGAGCGTCTAGGACAGTAACCTTGGTAACTATTTAGGCTCTTGCAGTACATAGAGGTCGTACATGGGACATCTCTGCTTGCGCAGGAAATGTGTAGGAGTATCGCGGGTCTTCTATGGGAGTTGGCACAGCGATTTATCTCCTGGATTGTAGACAGGGTGATTTGATTCTTTGTAGCAGAACCGAGCTGGATTTTATGAATGGCCAATGTCGAGGATTCGGCGGGTGCTTCAAAAGGCAGAGCTATAACCCCCTACAGCCTTATGGGTTATACGTATACACTAGCTACGGTGCTTTTGATTTTATCTGCAGGTAATTAGGGCTAGAAACAAGGGATTGTTAGGCAGCCTTTTTGCGTGCAAAGTTTCGGGGTTTGGGCTTAGGGTGCTTAGGTAGTGGGATGTTACGCAAGGACATGGGGCCTTTAAGTTCATCTCGGGGGCTTTTTGTATTTCTGTGGGATCACTGTGTGCGCGTCGCGGAAAGCAATGGAACCAGCTCTAAAGGATTTTACGCCTTGGGGCTGTGGGTTTCGTGCTTATATGGGATTTGGGGCTCAGGACTGTATAGGGAGAGTTTGATCTAGGACTTTGTGACGCTTGGCCGAGACTTCCCTGGCAGCATGTGTAATTTGTTTTCTGGGCCTTTCCCGCTGCAAGGACATAGATTTCAAGCAAGAATCGAGTACTATAGCCCCTAAAACAAAGCTAGAACAGCAAGCTCTTTTGATGACCTCTCGCCTTGTCGCTAGTCCTGGGCAACGTCTTCTGTGACATTACTTGGGGCTTTTGAAAAAAGCAGGTTTCAAGCTTAGATAGAGCCTGTCGCAAAAGTAGGCGCCCCTTCTCAAAAAAAAACAATGCAGTGATTATTTTGGAAAGTCCCCCAACTCGTAGAGGCAAGCTGATGTATTCCAATCCAGTCGAAAGGAATGCTCATCCCCCGAAAGAGTTTGTCATAGTGAGCCGCGTGTGGTGAAATTCGATGTGTCTGCAAGCTGCGACGGTTGGGGTGGGGGGACAAGAATAACTTGTCATCCCAGGGGCCATCTCCGCACGGCCTTGAACACTTCCAACAAGATTCCTACAGCAGGTGCCCGCAAGGGATCAGCAGTCGTGAGACAGCCCCCCGATAACCTGTAGCTCTACACAACAAGTAGGCCCGAAATCCTCAACAGCTTGCCTAGTCTGGGTTGCTGCTAAGGAACTTAAATTAAGTTACCGTAATGGGTAAATTAAGTTCCTTAACAGCAACCCAGTAGTTTGTTCTTTGCTAGAAGCAGTGACAAGTTCCATCATGCTCGGTGCAGTTCTTGTCATAGGCGGCGGCCCCGAGCTCTAAAACTCCTTCCTCCACCACCTCGGTCTATGTCAACGACCTGGCAACTGGATGTAAATACTGCGTGGAAACAGAGTCCATCCTTGCCTCAGAACTCAAACTCCGCGCCTTGCTTGGAGATTCATTGGATAGCTCAAAGAGAAAAACAAAATGAAACCACATGACTGCAGGACCTCCCACTCCTTTCTGTCCCAAACAGCCCCCTCCCTGAACCGAGTGCGAGACCCCACCGCCAGGAGCATGCCAGGCTGACCCACTGCAAGAATGGCCTCAATTATCCACTCAAGTTTATATGTCTCGGAGGGTCAGGACTTCGTAGCCATGCTTAATTACCCTACAAGCGACAGAATGCTCCCAGTTATCCCCGTTATTCACTTACTCACAAGTTCCCCTGACCCACATGCAAATCGCACTGAGCTCGCTTGCCTCTCAGCCTGGTAGAATCCCATACCCTACTCGGCTCCTCCTTTTTACCTTCGTGTCATAAGACACTTATTATACATAAAACTCGTAACGTCTGTTTCAGGTCTGGATGAATTCCCAAAACAAAATGCCCTTGAAAGGGCTCGCCCCAGTTTCCCCCACAAAGACACGTCTCGCGCTAGAAGGCCCAGGCCTGCGCAAGAAGCTCAGCACGCAGGGAATGTATACTATGCGCATGCAAGAAATTGCCCTCCGAATCCTTGACCTAAAGCTGCTAAACCCGTTTTGCATCCAGCTTGCAGCCCATAAGCCCCAAACCTCAAACTCCATACAAAGCCAAAGATGCCCACGCAAGAAAGAGTTTTTTGGACCTGGGCACCCTGCTGCCACACCCAAGTCTTCAGCCCACATTCGCATGTAGCTCCTCATGACAGCGTGCAGTACGTCAGAGAATTGTGGACACAGCACTGAACCAAGTGAGGGCTTCCGGGAGGCAGGCCCCAGTGTATGCGAAGTCAGGGTCCCTATGTTTCCCATCAGCTGGTAGTCCTGTATGCGTACTTCCCCAAGGTTCAAACATAGGTTTTTTTTGCACGCCTGTGCACAGCAACGTGTCTACACTCTACTTCACCACCTCCTCCAGGACCCAACAAGTTGACTCGATACAAGCCAACGTTACGCATTCAACGCCCTCCGCTCCCTGCAGTCTGGGTCTATAAACTCACTTGTAATCCGCCCACGTTGCGTAAGAGGAATGATGAAGAGTAAAAGAATGTTGCACATGTTAGCGGCAGCTCGTTAGCCTGATGACCACACATGCAACTTGCATCCATTGGTGATGAGTCATATGGATGCGGCAAGTTCGAGATATGCCACGAGAGGAAGCATGTAGTCACCCCTGCACCAACAGTTTAATTGAACTGGATCCAAATCCCTAGTCTGCGAACATGCAGGTGGACGGTCCGCTTCATCAGAGACTGCACGTGGTGGTAGCGGACGAAGGCGCGAACGAGACCTGCTGAGCTTTTGGTTTGAAAAGGCTTGCGTCGCGTGATCAAGTTGGATCGCCGCATGTTTTGAAGTCAAAAAAGCTTTTGCCAGGAAACAAAGCTGCAAGAGGAGGTCCCTTTGGCCAGCAGTTCTGCGTCTGAACTGGAACCACGGTAAGGAGGATCTGGATCTGAAGTGAGCTGCGGCCAATTCAGTTGAATATGCACAGCGGTGCGAAAGGCCTTTGGTGCACTCTGGCCAGCTGATGGTAGCTCATACCATGTCTGCTAGTTGGCAAGCAACAAAAGTGCAACCCGGGACCTTTCAAAACCAGGAGCTCTGTCTCATTGGGGAGCCTCCGCCCAAAGTCCGGGATGGTTGGCAGCTGCTGGCAGCCAGCTCGTGCAGCTCGGTGCCTCAATTCCGATGGCAGTAGCTACGTAGTGAGGGGCGTCAAGGCTGCAGGGTCTTGTAGGTTCGGGGTAAGTAACTGCTTTTGCATTAGCAGCACAAAAACTTCATTTTCAGGGCAACAAGATCACGAAGCATCGCTACGTACTTCACAAGACAGGGTTTTTACCATAAATCCTGCCTCCGATGTCTGTGGAGGATAGGAGCAGGACTTGGCAACAGCAATATCCCGCAATTCTTGACCACTTCCACACATCCAGGTGCTGCGTCTATGCATTGAACTTTGACGTACACTCGTCACACGAGAGTCGTATGGCCCCGGCTTTGAACCCAGCTGACGAGTCCTTTGATGACTCTTGGCGGGCGCGCGCCTGATGCTAGTCAGCGCTCACCGCGCAAAATCTGGTGTAGCCATGGAAAACGTAAACGAGTAGCACATAAGCAGCTTTAAGCCGAGTCAACCGCCACATGTCAGGCAATTGGTACTTAGAGCTTGGAACGCAGAAATGGATACCTGTACTGCTAGCCGCTGCTTACTCAGCTGTAGGGATTTCCAAATATTAAGGGCACCTTCTCTGGGAGTCCCTAAAATATGGATGAGAACATCTGGGGGTCTATGTTGGGGCCCTATGTATGGAAAGCAGCGCCTAAAATCCCATTCCTAGACCCTAAACCAGGGAGTAAATGTACCGCTTCCAGGCTGCCCTTCGTCCCAAAACATCGAATAGGATGTTTGTATGTACGCATACGTATATAATTAAATTTATCTACATATGTAATAAGGCTTACTGCATAGGGTATCTGTAGGCTTATGCAATGGAAAGGAAAGTGGAGGCTGCCATATGTTTAAGGGTTTGTTTTACCTATAGTTTTATGGGTTATATATACCCACTAAATTAATTTGGGGGTGATTGCCACTGAGGTGTGGGTAATCACCACTTTATCCTGCAGGTAATTGGAGTTACGGGTCTCCCCCGAGGTGTATATTCCTCCGCCGGAAGCTCGTGTTGCGGCAGATGCGTTTGAATTAAATAGCCCTAAACCCTAAACCTTAAAGCCTGATATACTATAGTAGTCGCCATTTTCTTCTCCATTATCATAGTCGAAGCTCCTAGTATCCCCCTTAATAAGCCCTATAGTCCCCTGTAGAATTCCCTATATAACCCCCCTTAAGGAGTTTAGACTATAGCACATATAACCCCATTATAAACCGCGCAAGGCTATGCGACGCTCTCGGCTTTCGAGCCATGCAAGCCCTCCTTTCAGGCCATCTTCCCAGACCCCCAAAAGGATCTAAAAATTAGATCCCTTAGAACCATAGGGGAAATTATATAAGGATTATATAGGGGTTATAATGGGTCTATATAGGGGATCTAATTTTTAGATCCTCCCGGGAGTCTGGGTTAGGCAAGAAGCCCTTCGCCTTCACTAGCACCCGCTAAAGGCATAAACACCAGCACTCTGAATTCCAGATGAACTCCAACAACAAGATTAAGCATAGAGTCCATATACTCATGCCACACCCCAAACCTTCACTTTCAAGATCTTTCAAGCATTCTAAGCCCTGAACCCCTATGGCTCCAAACCCCCCACCCCAAACCCTATACAACTAAACCCTCACCCTTAACCCTAGACCCCAAACCCTAAACCTGAAATCCTACAACCCTACCAGCCCAAGGTAACATGGAACCTGTCCCTTTCTACAGGACATATAGAGGTCCATGTAGGGGTCCTTTTCAGGTTCCATGATACCTTGGGGTAGGGCAAACTGGGTTGCTGTTAAGGAACTTAATTTAAGTCACTATATTGGGGAAACCCTATTATTTACTATATATACCCAGTATGGTAACTTAAACCCTAAACCCTATATAACCCCGTTATAGTAGTTTCCATTTTCTTTTCCATTATCCCTATATATATATACCCATTATGGTAACCTAATTTAAGTTTTTTAAATCCCTATATTCCCTC